ACAATTTGCACCCGGCATGAACCCAAGAGACTTCGCCCGTTTCGAAGATAATGAACTTCTCTGACTCATTCAAGGTCAACCAATTCGTTCGGGGTCAACAAATAATCCCCTTTGCAGACTTACTCCATAAAAGACCAATCAAATCTTATGATTTCTTCCGATACATACAAATGAGGTGTTTCCTAGATATCCCCCACATATAAGGCAGCTAGTACTACCACTCTGACAACTTTTGAAAATACATGCATGCAATGTCCAGTACAAAAGGGTCAAATTTTCTTAATCTACACCCTCCTGACCCCGAGCCTGGTGAATGCTCCATTATCCTATGTCTCGGCTTGGGAGAGGGATATAACCTGGCTGGTTACCCCTGCTATTAATGTATTAAGAGACCCATTTCCCCCAGTAACTGGACGACACACGGTTCCAGGGGTACAACGTTTGACAATCTTTATTTTGGCACACAGCTTTTTATGCACAGACCCCCGCAGTCTCCATCCAACACAACACAACACAACACAAATCCCAGGTAGGAGGGGGCTGGGTTGCAGATAACCATCTCACACTCTGGGAGATACCACTAGCACAGAGGGACACACGTGCCAACACATTACATCCAGGGGTAGACTTTGGGGCTCGGCGCCCAGGGCAGGGAAGGGGTCCCACAAGTAAAACATATATTGTTAGATAGCCCTGGGTCCCATCTGGGATCCCTGCAAATTCGGGCTATTCGCTGTACAGAATCTGAAATACCAGCATCTAAAGTCTGAGGCTCGAGGCTCTGTACATCCCCGGAATCAGTTCCACAGCGTTGCTTGGTTAGGTCTGGTGAATTTAAACTTCTCACCCAAACCAAGCAACAACCAATTTGTGCTAATCAGTGCTCGGGGGGGAGAAGGGTTTCACCGTCCGAACAGGAGAGAGGGCGCAAAACCCACATGCACCATTTGGCGCTCGGGAGGAGAGGGGTTTCGCCGCACAATCAGAAGAAAGGGCGTGAAACCCGATTGCACCAACCCACTTAGAGGCGCGAAATCAATTCGCACCTATCAGCACTCACGGGGGAGAGGGGGTACGCCACCCAATCAAAAGAAAGGATGCAGAACCCCGTTTGAATGGGCGTCCCAGCTCTGATTGTTTGCCGGCTCCTTGTAGATTCCAATCAGTGCTCCAGGACGATCCCCAACATGGGGATCGAAGAAAGTGTGTGCAGGCTGGTTAGGGATGCGAATGCTCCCCCTGGTGGGCGTTCGGTGATACGAATCGGTGGCCACTCAGGGGAAGCACGTGCCGCTTGTTTCCCTTGTGGTCTGCAGGTTTCACACCTCGTTAGCGAGTTGTTAACGTTCTAACCACATGTTCGATGTGTGGCAGCGGTCCTGTCACACAACTTCCCCTTAACCAACAACCGGCATACACGGCCTGATCCTGACGGATCAGCTGGGGAATGTCTGGGGAAGTGCTGATGGATCATTTATCTAGGACTGTCTGTCTGGACAAACCGGTGGCATTGCCATTATACTTACCAGGTCTGCAGTGAATGGTAAAGTCATACGGTTGTAGGGCCAGGCTCCACTGTAGCAGCCTGGCATTGTCCCCTGCGACCCGGTTACGCCATACCAACAGGTCGTGATCTGTGAGCAAGGTGAATTGCTGACCATACAGATAGGGCTGCAGCTTTTTGAGTGCCCACACCACCGCGAGGCATTCCTTCTCAATGACGGCGCAGCTTACCTCCCTGGGCAGCAGCTTCATGCTGAGGTAAATCATGGGGTGTTCCCCACCATCATCCCTGACCTGGCTAAGCACCACTCCTAACCCAAACATGGAGGCATCTGTGTGAACAAGAAAACATTTTCTGGAATTAGCAGCAGCCAGGTGAGGGGCTTAGCCAGGGTGCTGTAATTGGGGACAATTTTCCTATAATAACTGGCCATTCCTAGGAAAACCAGCACCTGGGTCTTAGTGAGGGGACAGGGCCAGCTAGCTACTGCCTCCCCTTTGGCAGGCTCTGGCTTCTGTGTCCCACACCCCACCCAGTGCCCCAGGGACTGCACCTCTGCCATCCACAGGGTGCACTTACTGGGCTTCAGAGTCAATCCTGCCTCCCCAATTCTGTCCAGCACAGCCCCCACATGTACCAAGTGTTCTTCCCAAGCATCACTGTATATTGCACAGGCATATTCCTGGAGGCCATCTAACAGCCGGTCCACCATCCTTTGAAAAGTGGTGTTCTTCATCCCACATGGTACAGGCCAAAGGGGGTGATGAAGGCGGACTTGGGGACAGCCTCCACTGCTAGACAAATCTGCCAATATCCTTTGTATAGGTCAATGGGGGTGAAGTATTGGCCCCGTGCTATCATATCTAGCAGCTCATCTATGTGGGCATGGGGTAGGCTTTGGAGACCGTCTCGTCATTGAGCCTCCGGTAATCCACACAGAACCTGGTGGTCCCGTCTTTCTCCCCCGCACAGCCTCCGATATGGGGTCTGCCTTAGAGGCCGTTGGTTGGGGGTCTCCACTCAATGGGTGGCCAGGGGGGCATACCCTTGTAGATTGGAGAATGTCTCTTGCTTGGCAAACAACATCTGCTTTGCCTGGCTGCGCTCATTATCAGTTAGCCGGTCCCCCAACTGGACTTCTTCTATGGACCCTGCCTGAGTCCCATCCTCCAGGAGGTCAGGCAGGAGAAGATTGCCATAATCTTCCGAGGCTGGCGTGCAAATGGCGGTGACGTTCTCTGTCCGCTCGTGGTAGGGCTTGAGCATGTTCACATATAACATACATCGGACTCCGGTACTTGAGCATGGATCGATCACCTAGGTAGAGTTGTCTTTCCGCTCCACTACCCGGTAAGGGCCCTGTCAGGCAGCCTGTCATGTTGGACGGGTTTAAACATTAAAACCTTCGCACCAGATGAGTTAGTTCCTCCAGTCGGTACCTGAACTCCAGCACATATGGAATGATGGGGGTCCCTTCCTGATCCCCAGCTCCCTCCCAGTGCTACCGCACTAGGTCTAAGGGTCCCCTCACTCTACGGCCGAACATTAGCTCGAATGGAGAGAATCCAGTCATTTCCTTCAGCACCTCCCGATAAGTGAACAGGAGATGGGGCAGGAATTTCTCCCAATCCTTGTGAGTCGCCATTGAAGCACTCACACAGGCCATTGGTCTGGGGGTGGTAAGGGGAGCACAGAATTGGTTTGATGCCGCACAACTTCCATAGTTAGTGGGTGATGTCGGCGGTAAATTGGGTGCTCTGGTCCGAGAGAATCTCCAGGGGAAAACCCATCCGGGAGAACACTTACATCAGGACTTCAGCCACAGTCTCTGCCCGGATATTGCTCAGGGATACTGAGTCGCGTAGTCCACAATGGTCAGAATGTATTTCTTTCCAGAGGGACTAGGTGACCTATAAGGTCGACAGCTACCCTGCTGAACGGATCTTCGATAATAGGTAAGGGATGGAGGGAGCCCTGTGCCGGTCCCCCCGCTTCCCCACTCTCTGGCAGATCGCCATGATACTACTAAACACTTTGACGCATTTTGGGACCCATGGCTCTTTGAATTTACAGTGCCCTCATAGGGGCTCGGCCCCGGTGGGAGCCGCCAGCGACCAGCTCTACCCTCTTCTTGAACCCCACCTACTATTTCAAACCAATTACACCCCCTTAGTCTTTACTCTTCTCTTCTCTACTTCTACCCCTCCCCCCCCCATTGTATGATATACAACCCCACCAACAGGTGAACCCAAATGCTCACCCCCAACAGCCATCACCCAATCCATGAGCAGGATCAAACGCACACTCATATCCCATATTTCATATTTGCAACAAACCTGTACAACCACCAAATCACAACTCACCAAACCATGATATCATAGAATGCCGAGAGATGGATACAATCCAACACACAACTCCGCATAACCCAATACACAGAACACAGTCATTCAGGGAACCCCGTTAAAAGGACAAAAGCACACGAATCCAATCCCACAGTTGCATGCCTAACGCCTAACTACTAGCACATAATTGCAAGCCCCACCATCAGGGATAATGTTCGGGGTTTATTACTCAAGTTCACCACTCTTACAAAAACTCAACACAGGAACAGACATTACAAATGCCAAGTGAGGAAAACACAGCACTCCTGCTA